CTCAAACTTGCTGACATAAGGAAAAACACAAGGCATACAGCAGGAGAAGGAAAAGGCAGCTCAAGGTCTCTTGCATTGGAACTTCAGTTTCTTCCTTGGCGGGGTTCCAACATTCTCTGCGGATTGTAGTAATAAGTTGAAGCCTCTTGTCTGGTGAAACTTTGGGTTCTGGTCTGCTTCCTTGTTGGGGCTGGTATGCATATGCTAAGGGTTGATAGTTGTGCTCAAATCCTTCAAAAAATGCAGTTCACAGTCTTCAGACAGAAGGTACTTAATTGTTGTTTAGACCTTCTTACACATTCCGTAAGATGGAGCCATGAAGCCCTGCACCCTAGGTAACAGTCATATTTTGAAAGAAGGGCCTGATAATTTGAAATATGCATCTGAAGACTTGCAGATTAGTAGATTTTTTTTTTTACCAAATTAAATTTTTAAGGCCCTTCTCTTCCTTTGTATCATCAGAAATGACCAGGCAGCAGAGAAGCACATGCAAGGGAGGAGAGAAAGGAACAGAACATACGTGAAGAGAAGATGAACTGAAGAGCAACAGGAGATTTTGAAAGAAGTAAATTGCACAAAAGACAAACATTTATATTGAAGGTAAAAGAATGTGTATTTTTTCTAACTTCTCCACATACACAAGTGCTGTAGTTGCCACAAGGAAGTTATTTGCTTGTGAATGGACACAACAGTGGTCCCTGAGACTCTCTCAATAACACAGTCCATGTTATGAAAAAAAAATTAAAACCCTAGTCAAGGCAATGCAAATAATTAACAAGATTGTTTTGATGCTATGCAGGAGTTCTACTTGAAAAAGGAAGAAAGATCAGTTTGAGTATTCTATACATTTTCTTCTCAACAAGACCTTTGTTTCAAAATCTCTTAACAAGGACTACACCAGGGGTGGCCAACCTGAGTCTGAGAAAAAGCCAGAATTTACCAATGTACATGGCCAAAGAGCCACAGTAATACATCAGCAGCCCCCATCAGTGTTCCCCCCGTCAGCATCTCCTGCCTGCCGGCAGCCCTGCCAATCAGCACCTCCCCCTCCCTCCCGCCCATTGTGATCAGCTATTTCAGAGTGTACAGGAGGCTCTGGGATGGAGAGGGGAGGAGTAAGGCTCAGGGGAGGGGGCAGTATGGGGTGGGGGCCTTGGGGTAAGGGGTGGAGTGGGGGCAGTGCCTGGGGTTGAGCAGTGGAAAGCTGGCACCTGTAGCTCCAGCCCCAGAGTCAGCACCTATGCAAGGAGCTGCATATTAACTTCGAAGAGCACATGTGGCTCCGGAGCCACAGGCTGGCCACCCCTGCACTAAACAGTTTTGTTACTGAGGTTTTACAGAGTTGTAGCATCTCATTTGAGAGCCAACTAGAGGCAGCCTAGTTTACAGCAGACGTGACTGAACTGCTTTTGGAACATGCAACACAGAGCTCATTACAAATTGCAGCTTTAGACTGCAACTGTCCCAAGACTGCCACTATGCAGACACATTGTAAAACGACAATCTCAGACTTGCCTGCCTACTTTAGTTCTTTTCCCAGATTCCCTTTTGGCACAGGATACTTATCTACCTCAGTACTAGGCTGTCTCTTGTTCCAACTATTAACTCATGGTGGCAAGAGGAACAAATAGAAGCAAAGAAATAACTAATGTTCTTTAGGAACATTTCTACAGATGCAGTATTTCATGCAATACTGTGTCAGCAAGGACTCTGGCCACCCATCACCCAATATGAGTATCTACAGGAAAACTGCTATCACTAGTTAAAATTAAGTGCTGAGACTCTTCTTCCTCTCCCAACATCCACCTTATAGTACTAAGAGTGACGTATTTATTTTGTTTGAAAACAATAATTTACATACAATATTGAAATACAAAATGTGTACGACAATTCTCTTTCCCACACTACCACTACCGCTAAGATCAAAACTGTGATGTGAAAGTTGTCAGATAGACCAGAGTTATAAAAACCTGATCCTAAGACTGCTTTTGTGTCTAGAATTTAGGTCATTTAATACCCAAGTACCTGATTTGCAGACATAAAATGGTACTTTGATATCCAAATGTCAAGCAATTACGCCTGCAACATCGTGGAAACCTGGTTATGGTCAAGTTGAAAAAAGCTGCCTTTTAATCTGTATTCCAAAAGAAGAAGAAAATTAAAATAAAAAAAGTACAGATTTAAATTCATATAGTCTTAGACTAAATTGAAAGGGAAAGTTTCCAGGGAAGGGAAAGTGTGTATGGTTAGCAGACATAACATAGTACACCAGCTGAAAGGAGTTGTAAAGCCATGATTCTAGTATTCACAATGTAAGTACACAGCAAAACCCAGCAATCAGAATACTTTCTGCAAACCATAACCAAGACTGAATAAATGTAGTAATAGTGATTGAGTCTATAAATATCTACTTCTTATATTTACAGCTAAGAGAAGAGCCTATAACCTGAAATATTAACTTGTTATTTATTTTTTAAAAACACACTTAAAACAGATTCACTTTCTAAAGCAATGATAATCAAGCATGCCTTATAGTGAAATCATTTTGCTCTCCATAACCTTGGCTGTTTTATTGATGTTACTATTAAATATTTATATTTCAGTAAGGCCAAGATGTGCCAGTCACGATCATGGCCCCCTCTGTTCTGGGCACTGAGCAATCACACAAGACAACAAGATCCTCGCCCAAATGAGTTTACAATCTAAGGCAGGAATCCTACAAGCCGCTCTGTGCAGACGAGCCCATATACCAACATTCAAAAACCAGTTGGAGAACACTTCAATCTCTTTGGTCACTCAATTACAGACCTAAAAGTGGCAATTCTTCAACAAAAAAACTTCAAAAACAGACTCCAACGAGAGACTGCTGAATTGGAATTAATTTGCAAACTGGAGACAATTAACTTAGGCTTGAATAAAGACTGGGAGCGGATGTGTCATTACACACAGTAAAACTATTTCCCCACGTTTATCCTCCCCCCGCCCCCGTTCCTCTCACGTTCTTGTCAACTGCTGAAAATGGCCCACCTTGATTATCACTACAAAAGGTTCCCCGCCCCGGCCCCTCCTGCTGGTAATAGCTCACCTTACCTGATCACTCTTGTTACAGTGTGTATGGTAACACCCATTGTTTCATGTTCTCTGTGTATATAAATCTCCCCACTGTATTTTCCATGGCATGCATCCGATGAAGTGAGCTGTAGCTCACAAAAGCTTATGCTCAAATAAATTTGTTAGTCTCTAAGGTGCCACAAGTACTCCTTTTCTTTTTGTGGATACAGACTAACACGGCTACTACTCTGAAACCTATACCAACATGGGTACACACACCGGACGCAGCAGGGCTCTGCCCATATGAAGCAGTTTGCATAATCAGGACTAGAGGTGGTCAAAAAACATTAAGTGTTTTCCATGAAAAACTTCTGAACAAAAGAGATTTGTAATGTTTGAAATGAAAATTTGTGAACTTTTTTTTTTTTTTACAAATGAAAAATGTGTTTCATTTTTTTGTTCCTGACCGAGGAACAAGTCCCTGCTCCAAAGAAAGGATTCAAACCTGAGTCTCCCTGCACATCCCAGGTGAGAGTCCTAACCACTGGGCAAAAGGTTAAAGGGAAGGGGGATGGAGAAGTAAGGCACCACCTACAGTAGCTTTATTTCCTTTGCTTTTACTAAAAATACCCCAAACAAAATGTTTTATTTTATTTATTTTTGTGTATGTGAGTGTGGAACTGCCAACAAACTGGGGGAAGTGGGGGGGGAACAGTGTTATTCACCCAGGTCTACCCACAAGTTTTTTGATTCATTAAGTTAAAGAAAAAAAAATTCATGAAAATGTGTTTCCTTCAAAAAGCCATTTTTCATTCAGAAAGTTTGATGAAAAAGTTTTAACCAGCCATGGCCCAGAAGTGTACACTGTAATGAAATAGCCCTGCAACCTGATCCCCACAAGTCCGAGTCAGCTGGCATTGGCCACTCATGAGTTTTTAATTGCAGTGTAGACATTTCTGTAGAAACATCAGGCATTTTGTACTTTCCATATAGAATTATGGAAACTTTTTAAATTTGAAGACAGAGAACTTCATAGAAATTATATAAGATTTCAATGCCATGTTGTACACTTTTAATAATCAAATTAGGCCTCTTTAACCTCCTACCCTGATATGATAGTTAAAATTAAACTACTTTTGGCATTTTTGATGACAGGGCTCAAGAAGTCTGAAGAAGCAAAATGGAAAAAAGGATTTTAGTTTAATTTTAACTGGGTAAAACTTAATGGTACCTTCTCCCCTCCCAACCACAGCTTCTGAAGATAAGGGAGAGCAATTTTTGAAGTCTAAGGCTGAGGAACACTCAGTAAAAATTCCGTACATTTGTAGTTTATAAATATGAAAACATGAATTTATGGAAATTTCCCTCTATGCTTTCGCTTATCACCATCTCACATATCAAATTGCATATTAACTCATCTTGGCATCCATCCATCCATCATAATATCAAGGCTTGGAGTAGATCCCACCTTGTTTTTGAAGCAGAGTCGTTCTCAATAACAACAAAACAAATGTTATCTTGGATCAGAGTGCAGGCCAATTTATATATATTGGGACTTCAATAGTAGCTTACAGATGAGAGGAAACTGTAGTCTTTCAAGATGTAGAAGAGACTAAATAATTAAACATTCTCTGAACTTTATAGGCACAATTACATTCCCTCTCCATTACATTCTTACATATTAAGTTTTTACAGTAGAGCAGGAGGCTTGCTTTATGTATTCTACAGTTAAAGCCATTTCCTTCAATTTCAGGTTGTTTTTTCAATAAAGTGAAAAGAAAGCAACTAATTTAATGGCAAATGATTTGAGATCATCAATATCTACTCATTTTATTACTAAAGTAAATACATATATGTACATGAATATATTGTCCCCAACACAACAGCTTTAGTGTCCAGTCACCCCAAAATTCAATATTCTGATGGTAAAGCAATTAAGTTACCCTTACCTTCAGAATTATTCTTATATCTTCTTTATTAGAATGTCCAGCTATTTGAGTTACTCTGTATTCTAACCACTGCTGAACTATTGCTTTCTCTTCTGCAGTACTTCCAAGTAGCTGTTCTTTCTTAGCTTGTTTGACCAGATGGGTGGCTATAGTAGTCAATCCTGTTAGACTGGAACCATTATTTGTTTGAAGAACTGGAATCTAGAAGAAAACAAATACCATGTAAGTTTGTCATGTTCAAAGGTTAGCCTTTGTTAAACAACCTCAGTATATGCTATCCCAGTATGTTCACTTTATTCTGAAACCTTTCGTTTTAATTAGGCAATTAAAAGTATGAATGCTAAGAATACTACTTCACATGGAAAACAGGGCTTTGGAGCTGTGCTCCGGCTCCGCTCCAGCTCCAGGCAAAAACCTGCAGCTCCACTGCTCCGGAGCTGCTCCATGCTCCAGCTCCAGGCTCCGCTCCAAAGTCCTGATGGAAAATATTTATGTTTATTCTTAATCCTTGGGCTGATTTTTTTTCAGTTTCCACGGCAGGACAACAAATAAGATATACATGCAAGACAGAACATATACATATTTCTAGTTCAATATAACCAACCCATGCCAAATTTTCTAGTTCAATATAACCAACCCATGCCAAAATTAGTGAGAGCATCAAAATAAGAAGTATTGTCGACCAGAAATCTTCATGGGTAGCCTTTGATACACAGTTCGAAGTGTAAAAAAAACTTCAGATTATAGAATCAGCAAATATCCAGCTTTTCTGGACAGCCACAAATAAATCATACCTGTCAGACTTTTTCAATGCTTATTCTAAATAACTGCTTAACTGTTGTGAAAGTTGTGACTTTACACAGTTAGGGGTAAGGACATAACTCAGCAAGATAGATGACTAGAGTTATACAAGTCTCGTGATTAAGTTACTATGAGGAAGCCGTTTCAGGAGCAACTGCAAATGTGTTGTTTCACCTTAAAAAAAAAATTTCTATATTACACTTCTCCAAGCTTAGGGTTAAGCTATAGTTTAGTATTAAATTTTAAAAACCTTAATTTATAGCAGTGAAATTACTTGGGTTTTTTTGTGATACCCTTTAAATATAGCACATGTTCTCTGTTCCTGTGAACTCCTATATAAATAATTGTCAAGTTGTTCAACCACCTCCTGAAGACACATTGCCAAGTAACTGCAAATGCTGCTCCAAGAGGAGAAAATGAGATACAAATGCTGTATGAATCTTTACCCCATGCTAAGTCAGTCTGAGGACAGTTCAACTAGTAACAGTGGAAACTAGGAGACTCACACTTCATGAGCACCCTGTGTTTCCAATAGCGTGCCAGTGAATTAAGCTAATTTGGAATAAGGCACACTTATTCCGAAAAAAACAACAAGGAGTATTTGTGGCACCTTAGAGACTAACAAATATATTTGGGCATAAGCTTTGGTGGGCTAAAACCCACTTCATCAGACGCATGGAGTGGAAAATACAATAGGCAGGTATATATACACAGTACATGAACAGATGGGAGTTGCCTTACCAAGCGGGGGTCAGTGCTAACAAGACAATTCAATTAAAGTGGAAATGGGCTAATCTCAACAGTAGAATACCAACGGAGGAAAAATCACTTTTGTAGTGGTAATGAGGCCAATGTAATCAAGGTGATCCATTTCAAACAGTTGACAACAAGGTGTGAGTAACAGTATGGGGAAATTCGTTTTTGGCAACAACTACTTGTTTACAGCAGTACTGAGCCAGAAGTCTGCTCTTTCCAGGCAGTAAAAACTGATAAAGGTTGCCATGTAGAAAAGATGGAATTAAACAAGAAGTGGAAGATTGGACAAATGACCAGGGATGAGTATAAAAATATTGCTCAGGCTTGCAGGAGTGAAATCAGGAAGGCCAAATCACACCTGGAGTTGCAGCTAGCAAGAGATGTTAAGAGTAACAAGAAGGGTTTCTTCAGGTATGTTAGCAAGAAGAAGAAAGTCAAGGAAAGTGTGGGCCCCTTACTGAATGAGGGAGGCAACCTAGTGACAGAGGATGTGGAAAGAGCTAATGTACTCAATGCTTTTTTTGCCTCTGTCTTCACAAACAAGGTCAGCTCCCAGACTACTGCACTGTGCAGCACAGCACGGGGAGGAGGTGACCAGCCCTCTGTGGAGAAAGAAGTGGTTCGGGACTATTTAGAAAAGCTGGACGAGCACAAGTCCATGGGGCCGGATGCGTTGCATCCGAGAGTGCTAAAGGAGTTGGCGGATATGATTGCAGAGCCATTGGCCATTATCTTTGAAAACTCATGGTGATCACGGGAGGTCCCAGATGACTGGAAAAAGGCTAATGTAGTGCCAATCTTTAAAAAAGGGAAGAAGGAGGATCCTGGGAACTACAGGCCAGTCAGTCTCACCTCAGTCCCTGGAAAAATCATGGAGCAGGTCCTCAAGGAATCAATTCTGAAGCACTTAAGAGGAGAGGAAAGTGATCAGGAACAGTCAGCATGGATTCACCAAGGGAAAGTCATGCCTGACTAATCTAATTGCCTTCTATGACGAGATAAGTGGCTCTGTGGATGAAGGGAAAGCAGTGGACATGTTGTTCCTTGACTTTAGCAAAGCTTTTGACACGGTCTCCCACAGTATTCTTGCCAGCAAGTTAAAGAAGCATGGGCTGGATGAATGGACTATAAGGTGGATAGAAAGCTGGCTAGATTGTCGGGCTCAACGGGTAGCGATCAATGGCTCCATGTCTAGTTGGCAGCCGGTATCAAGTGGAGTGCCCCAGGGATCGGTCCTGGGGCCGGTTTTGTTCAATATCTTCATAAATGATCTGGAGGATGGTGTGGATTGCACCCTCTGCAAGTTTGCAGATGACACTAAACTGGGAAGAGTGGTAGATATGCTGGAGGGTAGGGATAGGATACAGAGGGACCTAGACAAATTGGAGGATTGGGCCAAAAGAAATCTGATGAGGTTCAACAAGGACAAGTGCAGAGTCCTGCACTTAGGACGGAAGAATCCCATGCACCACTACAGACTAGGGACCGAATGGCTCGGCAGCAGTTCTGCGGAAAAGGACATAGTGGTGACAGTGGACGAGAAGTTGGATATGAGTCAGCAGTGTGCCCTTGTTGCCAAGAAGGCCAATGGCATTTTGGGATGTATAAGTAAGGGCATTGCCAGCAGATCGAGGGACATGATCGTTCCCCTCTATTTGACAATGGTGAGGCCTCATCTGGAGTACTGTGACCAGTTTTGGGCCCCACACTACAAGAAGAATGTGGAAAAATTGGAAAGAGTCCAGCGGAGGGCAACAAAAATGATTAGGGGACTGGAACACATGACTTATGAGGAGAGGCTGAGGGAACTGGGGATGTTTAGTCTTCAGAAGAGAAGAATGAGGGGGGATTTGATAGCTGCTTTCAACTACCTGAAAGGGGGTTCCAAAGAGGATGGATCTAGACTGTTCTCAGTGGTAGCAGATGACAGAACAAGGAGTAATGGTCTCACGTTGCAGTGGGGGAGATTTAGGTTGGATATTAGGAAAAACTTTTTCACTAGGAGGGTGGTGAAACACTGGAATGCGTTACCTAGGGAGGTGGTGGAATCTCCTTCCCTAGAAGTTTTTAAGGTCAGGCTTGACAAAGCCCTGGCTGGGATGATTTAGTCGGGGATCGGTCCTGCTTTGAGCAGGGGGTTGGACTGGATGACCTCCTGAGGTCCCTTCCAACCCTGATATTCTATGATTCTATGATAATCAAATTATGCCAACCCTAAATACAAAATATTTTGTATTGCATACCTGATAAAAAACTATGCCAAAAATTTCAGAGGTAAAATGGAAAAATATATATACATTAATAAGAAAATATGATAAAGAATACATTTTGTGCATCTGCTTGATCTAGTTTGAATAGTGATTTCAAAGCCGCCAGAAGCAAACTTGAACATAAAACAGTCTTAAAACATAATGCTGAAAAACCAAGCTACCCGTTCCCTATGTTACTATTATAAATAAAATGCTACCGTCTCCATTGATGGATCAACAAATCTAGAGAACATGGTATGTTTGCAAGAACAGGTAATGAATACCACTTCACAATAACTCAAAGGCCTGGGCATAAAGGGCAGGCAAAGTTGGAAAGAATGAAAATTAATATGCAAGTGTTTGGGGCCAGATTTCATAATATTATTTTGATTTTATATTGGCAAGCCCATTTGTTATTGTGAGGGCTTCGTGTCTGTCACGGAGGTCATGTAAGTCACGGATTCTGTGACTTTTCGCAACGTCCGTGACTTCTGCAGCAGCTAGCGTGACTAACCTCAGGCCCACCCAAGCAGCTGGCTCTGGCGCCTGATGCTCAGGTGGCCCCAGGGACAACCACACCTGCTGCTGCTGTAGTGGCTTTGCAGCCAGCCACACCAGCTGCCGCTGCAGTCCCCGGGTGGCCAGTGGTACAGGCCCCGGGGCACCTCTCCAGCAGCAGCCACCCCCCAGCTCCCACCCCAGCAGCGGCCCCCCGGCATGTACCCTCCCTAGTAGCTCCTGCCCCGATTTAGTCAGGAGTATTTATAGTAAAAGTCAGGGACAAGTCATGGGCTATGAATTTTTGTTTACTGCCCATGACTTTTACTAAAAATACCCGTGACTAAATCATAGCCTTAATTATTGTACCTTTCAGGTAGCCCCATGTAATGTTCTCCTTCCAAATGTGCTTCCCACAATTATGCACTATTTTTATACTTCAATATTAAGGGGGAAGTGTCTGTTGCATTTTAGGCATCATCTGCAAATGGGTCTTTGCATAGATTTAATTATTTTACAGTATTATGTTTTGCAAAGATACTTAAATCTGTACAATCACTAGAGTGAGTAAAGTTATACCAGTAAAAATGGTATATTTATATGAACAAGCTATGCCAACACCAGCATACTGCATACATGGTAGGGGGTCACACTGCTTGACCTACCTACATCGGTTTTAATGTAGTTAACATGTTGCAAAGACAGCCTGTGGACAAACTTTTGTTAACCTTTGCTGCAATGCCACTTGAGCCAGCTATGAGGGCCAGAGAGGACTCTGGAGGGGGAGTGGTTTCTGACATATGTAACTTTTGGGGTTAAAGAGAGTGCACTAAGGGACAGCCCACATTTAGATTTGACACTGCTTTTCATTGACTAAGCCCAGGCAGCAGCGTTGTTGTAGCTGGGTTGGTCCCAGGATATGAACGAGAAAAAGGTAGGTGAGGTCATGTTATTGGACCAACTTCTGCTAGTGAAAGAGAGAAGCTTTGGAGCTCCACAGAGCTCTTCGTCAGGTGTGTAAGTCGAACCAATAAATAAATGCATCCTGCACTGCGGCAGGGGCTGCTCCCTTTGGTGCTCACAGCTGGGGGGGGGGGGGGCTGTCTCTGCACGTCACCCGACCCACAGGCAGCGTGGCCCTCACGCAAAGCCTAGCCCGGGGTCGGGGGCCCTTTGGCGAGAGCCGGCCTGAGGGGGCCCAGCTGGCTCCGTCGGCTCCGACTCGGCTAGAATCGAATCGCGGCCCTGCAGCGGGAGGGTCCTGTCTGCGCGCTCAGCCCTAGACGTGCTGCCAGGAGAAGGGGAAGCCGCCTGCTCCTCCCCCCCCCCAGGCGCCCCTTTAGCGGGGAGGCCGCAGAAACTCACCGCCTCTAACTAGGGACTCAAACTGCCAGTGACAGGTCGGGGGGGAGGGGATAACGCCGGGGCCGCACCGCGCCGAGCTCGCCAAAGGGAGAGAGGGACGGGCGCGAGGAGAGTCCGTTTGCTGCGCGCGCACATGCCCGAGTCGGTCCCCAGTTCTCCCCTCGCATCCTTCACCTTCCGCTCCTCCCGGACACCGTACTTGTTCCCTTTCTTCAGGCCCAGGAGCGTCTCTAACAAAATCAGCTCCTCCAGCCCGGGCCCCGCCGCAGCTGACATCTTTGGAGGCAACCCGCCGGGAAAGGAAGAGGCTGAGGAAGAATGACGAGTCTCTCAAAACTAACAAACTCCAGCACGATTGGACAGAGGGCTCCCACCTCCTCCACTCCCTAAGTAACGTCTCCATCCATTGGAGGAGAAGGGGGTGAAGGACAGGAACATACCAATCTACGCCTGCGCAGAGAGGAATGTGGCTGAATAATGATATGCGCAGTAGAAAGGGGCGGGGTCACGTCTCAGGCTGAAGGAGGTGCCTGGAGCGCATGTGCAGAGGGGAGCCATAGGATGAGTACATAGCTTCAGAGCAGCAGCCTTGTTAGTCTGTATCCGCAAAAAGAACCGGAGGACTTGTGGCACCTTAGAGACTAACAAATTTATTTGAGCATAAGCTTTCCTGGGCTACGGCTCACTTCATCCGATGCATGCAGTGGGACAGTCTCTACGTAAAAGAATAAATGGACACAAATCAGACATCAAGAATTATAACATTCACAAACCAGTCGGAGAACACTTCAATCTCTCTGGTCACTCGATTACAGACCTAAAAGTTGCAATTCTTCAACAAAAAAACTTTGAAAACAGACTCCAACGAGAGACTGCTGAATTGGAATTAATGTGTAAACTGGACACCATTAATTTAGGCTTGAATAAAGAGCGGGAGTGGATGTGTTATTACACAAAGTAAAACTGTTTCCCCATGTTTATTGCCCCCCCAACTGTTCCTCACATGTTCTTGTCAACTGCTGGAAATGGCCCATCTTGATTATCAGACAAAAGGTGTTTGGTTTTTTGTTTTATTTCTTCTCTCTCCTGCTGACAATAGCTCACCTTACCTGATCACTCTCGTTACAGTGTGTATGGTAACACCCATTGTTTCATGTTCTCTCCACTGTATTTTCCACTGCATGCATCGGGTGAAGTGAGCTGTATTTCACGAAAGCTTATGCTCAAATAAATTTGTTAGTGTCTAAGGTGCCACAAGTACTCCGTATTCCATGAAGCTTGATTTACGTGTGCGCAAAGTGAAGTGGGTGGAGAAGAGTCTAGTATGTTAATAAGATCTGTGATGTAGCCAATGCCTGGGGGGCTAATTCTGCTGGCCTCCCTCAAGGGATTGACAGCATGACAGATGCAGACTGTCCCTAGGCTGAGCCTCTCCCTGCCAGGTGCCCGTCATAGCCCCGCTGCTCCCAGCGCAGCGGCTGGGGAGGAAGCACGGTGAGGTGCAGGCACGCAATCTTCTAGTGTGCTTGAGTGCAAAGCTCACCTCAAGCATAACTAGGGAGCCGTGACTGCAGTCTCCAGCCTGTTTTTACCTTATCAGATCATACCTAATTAGAGCATTTGTGTAAAAGAGGGGTTCATTGAGGCTGAAATTCCTATGATGGTTTTGCACTTTGTCAATTTTGCTTAAAGTGTTAGTCTAATTTATTGCCTATTTCATGGGTTTTAAAATTAGGGGGTGACACATAGTTTATTGGCATTTGTAAGGGGACTTCCTATAGTGCTGACCACAGAAGAGGAGTCAGTACAAATGCTAGGCTCTCTGAGGCCATTGACAGATACATCGTAGAACCAGCCAGTTTTTGAATTCCAAAATTTAGACTCAGGGACTAGTGAGTTATCATCATGGTATTATTCATAACAAGATTAGGGGAGTAACAGGAGTTATACATGCCTATGGAATTATAGTACCCAGACGTGCCTCTGGAGAATCAAGTACACGCCTCTTGACTAAATTGTAATTTTACAGTCTACCCTGGGTAAGGGGGTAGCATATAGCTGCACAGCCACAGAAATGAAAGTCACTGTTCTTCCCTTGTTCTGCAGGAAGGAGTAAATTGCTTCACCTCTTTTCACAGAGCATCTTACTTTGCCAGTGCACCTGGCCAGTTTCTGTGCCTGGTGAGTATGGAAGCTAAAGGGCAGAACTAGGGATTCTCCTACTCCCTGCCCAATCTGTCCATTTGTTCACAAGGAGAATATTGGACAAGCGAGCCTTCCATTTGCTCTTCCATTCACTGCTTGAGTCGTGTTCTAAGTAGGGCTGAGGAGCATAGCCCAGTAAAGGCTGTGACTGTTTGACCCTATGTGTGCAAAACAAGAGATACAATATATTGGTTTGAATTATTGATTTGTAATGATTTAGGTAAAAAGGCAAAGAGAAAAAAGTAGATAACTGAACTATACTGTTCTGCATAGGGGTCATAGTTCCATAATTTTGGGGGGCCAGATTTTGCCTCCTTACATATACAGTAAACTACTATTCAATGAAATTTTATTTTGTTTGCTCTCAGAATAAGATAACACTGTTTGAACTCCTGGCCTTCCTGAAGTCACTGAAAACACTTCTATTGATTTCAGTAGGACTAGGATTTCATCCATTGTGAGTAAGGATGCAGAATCTGACCTTCTATTTTTAAAGCAGGTGGAATAATAGAAAAGGAATGTAACTGGGATGAGAACTCAGGAGTCATCATTCTCAGGGCTGTATTTGTTCCACTAGGCCACATTGCTCTCTGTGTCAATTAAGCATTCATCTTGCTCATAAAAGGTCCATTGGCCTACGGCTGCACCATCTTGCTTTCTTGGTTGTATTTTTTATCATTGAGAAATACCACAAGTTTTAACTAGAAAACACATTACTAAATCCATATATAGTATTCCTCTGCTCTCATACTTTAAAAAAATAAATCAGAGGAATAAAAAGGAGAGAAACTTTGTAAATAGTTTAACATGTACAGTTTGTCTTCAATATTATTATGAGCACTAGAAACCTGATAACTTCAGAGTAACTCAGCCCAAGAATACATACTGTATAGTGTATTTTAATTACGTGCTGCCCTTCTATAAGTTAAAATGATATAATGTCTTGAATTTTTCTCATGCATCATAAATATAATATTTCTCCGTTTTGATGTTATACTTGTAAAGTATAGTCCTCAGGCTACGTGAAAAGAATGATCAAACTTTTCCACTGTCACTGAATTGCTTTTTAAATTTGTTAAAAATAATGTTTTATTTAATCCACTATCAGCTATCTACACTGAAATCTGCAATGGATGAGAGCTCAGCGTATACAATCATAAATGTTAGAGATTGGTAATCTAAAGGGTGTTTTCTATCTAGCTACCTGCCAGGCCAGTGTATAGGCCTAGACACAGAATGAATCATGTATCAACCGTACTATACTTTTAGTCAAAAGATGTAGCAATCTTATAGGACCCTGTTTATAGGAATTGAGAAGTTCTGCCATACTGATACATAACTTCCATTCACTTCTCCTGAGAAAGGTGTGCCTGGCAAGCACCCTTATAGTTCAAAGGCATATTTTGACAAAAGGCAATGTTCAGATTATTTTTATAAAATTGCACTTTAGTTTGAAAAATTGTTCTACCTTGGCAGTGGTTTTAACTGTAAAGCTTTAAACTCTTCAGTTTTGGTTTCTGCTGTGGTTTTGGTGTGCCAGTGTTCTACTGGCATTTCAATGCAGTCAGTAAATTACATGCGGTATTTGTGAAGAGTTTGTTAAGTTGCAGCACAGCTGTTAAATATTCCATCCCTGTATATTTTAAAAGTCATTTGTTTCAGATGCTTGAAATACATCGGAAAAAAGTGATATTTGTGACTCTCCATGAGCTGAAAAACAAACAATATAGTAATAGAGATGTACCTATGTGTTACATACAGTTGTATTGTAAGTATATAGTTTAAATGTTTTGGATCTTTTAGGATGAAAGCCATATAAACATGCAATATTATTAAATATTTCACACTACATCTGTCTGTGACAGTTATAAAAAATGGGCTTTCTATTTCACCCAGATTAAAAGATTTGTAATAGTTGTTTCTAGTCTTTGTTTTTATTTTCATTTCTTCCCTGCCCCCCATTTAAATCCTTTCAAGTGTTTGGAAGAGGAGACTTTACAGATTATTTACATATACATAATTGGTTATAGTTTTTATAATGATTTTCTCTTGACCGAAAGGCTGCTTGGCAATATTTGTAATCCTGTCTTTTCTCATGCACAGTTCTCCATCATTCCAGTAGGTGGAGCTTTGTGATTAAATCTGCAAAAAAAACTTGACCCAAAGTAAAATAATTCACCACAGGGGGGTGAGGGAGGAGGGATATGATGAAGTACACTTTGCTTAGAGGTATCAATGTCCTGTATGCATGCTTGATACACAACAACAATCTGTATCAAGACTCAATGAAAATAACTTGAAAAAAAATCAATTCTGTCAAATGGAACACTGCTCTAATCTGCTGTTATCATAGTCAAGTTTTAAATCTAAAATACCTGAGGTTATAAATTAAATGTCAAATATAATTAATTTAGCACTTGAAACATGAAGTGGATGACTGTCCTTTGGAGAAAGCCTGACAGCTTTATGTATGTCACATTGGTATCTGTTAAAATGAGCTTTCCATGCCAGAAAATCCTAGTGTGTCATATTGCTGTTAGCTGTACCATAATTTTGTCAATGCAACTTTAAGTCTCAAAATAGTTCTTGCATTAATTGTTTGAAGCTTCTGAAAAATAATATAAATAGGTATTGTGTATCTCATCTATTGATCTATGCTAAATGCTGGTTTTATTATCAATAGCATGTGCAATGTTCTACTTAGTGTATTACATTTTATCCTGCAAATACCTTCTCTGGTATGTGTCTGTATTTTATATCTGTTATACAGATGGGGCAAAACATCTGCCCTGTGCGGAACCTGGGCCCAAACCTATTGTAGTTACAGTTGGGAAACAATCCTTCTACTTGTGGCACCTTGGAGACTAACCAATTTATTTGAGCATAAGCTTTCGTGAGCTACAGCTCACTTCATTGGATGTAACTCACGAAAGCTTATGCTCAAATAAATTGGTTAGTCTCTAAGGTGCCACAAGTACTCCTTTTCTTTTTGCGAATACAGACTTACACGGCTGTTACTCTGAAACCAATCCTTCTACTATCTTCTGAACTCTGCAGTAACATTCACATCCATGTACTCTGTCTGCAGGGAGGTTTTTATGGTAGATATATGCAATCTAAGATTGATTGACTCTACTCCTTCTCCAGCCCACCTTCCCTCTGTGTCCCTCAAACAGAATGGCCACAACAGACCCTTTGT